GCAGGGCTGGGGGAAGCTAGCTGGCTGATGGCTGCGTCTGCGAGCATCTTGATCCCCGTGCAGTTTTTGCACACCTGCTGTGCACACCAGGCCTCGGTCTTGCACACCTCTGGGGGGACCCATGCACCACAGATCCTGGCATAGAAGCCCCGAGAACGGGGGATCTCCATCAGGATGATGTCTGGGGACATCTGTGGCTGTCCCAGCTGAGGTTGCTCCTGGCATCGAGGGGGTGAGGCAGGGTTCCCATCCCGCCGTGCCCAGGACAGACCCCCGCAGAGAACGACCCAGTCCCCCGTGTCCACAGCGCCGAGGGAGAGCAGCCCTGCTCTGGCCTCCAGAAACGTGCACACAGCCTGGACGGCACATGCTGGGCATCAAGGCGAGAAATTCAGAGGGAGGGGTGGGTACCTTGCGGTGTCCCCAGCACTGGGATGGGGTGGCCTCCTGGCCTTGCCCCCGGCCCCAAGCAAGGTCACACCACAAAGGGGACCTGAAGAGAGCCGTGGGCACCACACCAGCATTCAGACTTTACTACGAGGGAGAAAAAAACTCTCTGACCGCCCAGCAACCAGGAGCTGAGTGAGCAACTCTGGCCCCCATCCCACCCCACCCCACCCCTGCCCCCAGCCAGGGCGGGCTCTGGGCTCCGGGCTCCGGGCTCCGGGCCTGCCGCTGGGCCTGAGGTTCTTCAGGGTCATGGTCACCCTTGCCTGGCTGGGTGGGGAGGGCTGGCCACATGAGGGCCTTCTGGGACCTTGGGCACCATGACCTTTGGTGGGAGGTGCGGCCGTAAAAGCCCAGCTGGGTCTTCGCCAGTGAAGCGCTTCCCCCCACGAGGCCCGCGCCCCCAGAGACCATCATCTTGTGACTCCCTGTCAACTGGTCCTTTTGTGCACAGGCTAAATTGTGCCCTCTGGCAGCTATATTTAGAAAAGGCTAGAAAAAAGGGAATGAGTGAGGTGCCCACAAGCAAGGGGAAAACAGAGCCGCAGGGCAAGGGGCTGGGAGCCCTTGGCCAGAGCCCGGAGGCCAAGAACGAGCCACCGTGGGCGCAGGCGGACAATGAGCCGTGGTGACGCACGGTGACAGTGCGGCTGATGCGCGAGCAGAAGAAAAGGCCCTCTCTGTCCACCCGGAGGCTGACTGCAGTCATATGAGAGTGTGCAAGCCAGGAGCCGGGCCAGGCCAGCTCGCCCAGTGCCTGTGTCTCATGTCACCTCTGTTCTCGGCTTCCCAGCACAGAGGAAGTACGTCACCCCAGCCCCCAGAGTGAGCAGCTCTGAGCCAAAGGGTGGGAGCCTGGGAGAGACGGGAGGGCAGGTCCAGGCCTTCCTACCTGAGCCCAGACAAACTCCTACACATCCTGCAAAACCCTGTGAAGAGTCATCTGCCCTGAGAAGCCCCTGGTCCACTGTCCATGCACAAGGCTGAGCCAAAACCCTCTCTCGCGGTGTCCACAGCTCCCTGTACATTCCTTGGGCACTGCATTTCCCGTGGCTGCTGTCACAGACTACCACAAATTTGGTGGCTTAAAACCATACACATGGATTCTCTCATGGTCCTGGAGTCAGGAATCTGACTCGGGCCTCAAGGGGCTAAAACCCAGGCGTGGGCAGGGTGGGTTCCTCTGGAGGCTCCAGGGAGAAGCGGCTCCTGCCTCTTCCAGCTTCTAGAAGTGCCGCATCCCTGGCTCGCGGCACCCCCTCCATCCTCACCGCCAGCAGCGCAGCATCCCCCTTCTGTCTCTGACTCTGACCTCCCACCTCCCTCTGATAAGGACCCTATGATGACACGAGGCCCCTAGGGAATCCAGGGTCACCCCCATTCCAGGGGCCTTAATTTAATCCCACCTGCAAAGTCCCCTCTGTCCCGTGAGGTGACACGTCCGCAGGCCCTGGGACCAGGACATGGGCATCTTTGGGGGCAGTGCCTGGGAAACCTGGCACCAAAGGGCCATGTGGATGCGTGGGACTGCTGGCTGCAGGGCAGGGGTTTACCAAAGAGGTTCCTTCCAGGAACTCACTCTGTCCCCAGGGCCAATCTCTCTCCCAGGACAGGGCCCCCAGGACCAGGCTGCAGGGGCAGAGCACCTGGCCACACCTGATGTCCACAGTGGGTGCCACTCGTGGGCATGTGCCCAGGATGGCATGCTCTGCAGAATGGGGGACCTGCCTGGGGCACATGTGCTATTGAGCACAAACCTCGGACCTGGGTCACTGGCTCCAGACCTTTGCTCTGGGCTCTGGATGGTTGCCCAACACGCAGCGGACTGAAGGTTCAGCACCAGAATGACCAGGGGCTACTTGGCATCTGGTACGCCGCCTCTGATGCCGTTAGACGGTCCTGGAGCAAAACAAAGTCAGAGAGGCTCTTCCTACGGGTTAGCTGTAGGTAAGGACGTTTTTCATGCTAAAAAAGAAAAAAAGGGGGCCATCAGTGTGTTTACCTGAGCAGTTTTAGAGACAGGCCTGCATGGGAAGGCAGCGTCTGGAGGGGGGTCTTACCTGAGCAATCAAGCCCCGGGGACACTGGCGATGTCTGGGGACATCTGCGGTTGTCACGACTGGGGGCTCCTGGCATTGAGGGGGTGGGGGCCAAGGAGGCTGCTCCACACCCCACAGTGGCCAGGACGGCCCCCCACAGAGAATGGTCAGGCGATGTCAGCAGCGCAAGGGTGGGGAGACCCCTCCAGGACTGGCCTGGGAGTGTTCCAGCCACTTTCCTGGAAAATGTACACAGTTTTGGTCTCGTCGGGTTCAAGTGAGAAGCCCAGGCGGGCTGAGGCCCCTGCCATGGCTCCCGTGCAGCTGCTCCGTGCCACGCTGCACATCTTCAGTGTCATAACTCCCAAGGGCCCCCCACCGGGTACCCCCCAGGTGAGGATGTAGATGTCTGGGACTGAAGGTCAGTGCCCTGCACTACAGTGAAGTGTCAGGATGTCTGGAGGGGACCCCTACTCGGGTGCTGCCCTAGTGTTTCTGGCTGGAAGCTTGACCTTGAAACACAGCACCGGCAGTGGGGGTGGAGGCGGAGAAACAGCTGTCTTGGTCTAGGCTGCAAGTTTTGGCCTCAACCGAGCTGCTGCCAGGCTGCGTCCTCATCGAGGGACACGGACCCAGAGTGTGTAGGGGATTTTGGTGTCTCCTGTGGAAACTTCTGGACAGGGACGACCTCGGCTACCCCTGCTGACAATCAGGCTGCACTGAGCGTCCGTGACCAGGACCGAGGGCGCTCGGGGCCCAGATGCCTGAGGGGGGCAGCAGGGGTGCTGGGGGCCAGCGCTGGATTTGCAGAAAACCCCCAGTGAGAGTGGGTTAGTCTCGGCTTCCCAGTGGCCTCGGCCCCAAGAGGAGGTTTCTGTGACATGCACGGAATTTCTAACAATGAGATCGAGTGTCTGCTTCTGCTCACGCTGACAGCCCCTTCCTCATCCATTCAAATTCCATGACGCCTTTTCTTGTTCATATAGAGACGCAGCCAAGGGCTGGGCTGCCTGGGAAGCGGCCCTCATGGGAAAGGGGAACCGTGGCCGCCATGGGGTTGGGGGCCCGGCTCTCAGAGCCAGCACTGCACACGGGAGGTGGAGAGGATGCCCAGAACGCTAGGACGTGACCTCCTGGGATTCTCACCGGACTCGTGAGGGCAGCTGACGGGGTGGGTGCATTTCCGGAGAGGGCCAGGCAGAGCTGCTCAGACCTCTGACTCCGCCCCGGAGACCCTCCTTGTTGGCCTGATGAAGCAGGGAGCTGTGCTGAACAAGCTCACATGGCAAGGAGCCGTGGGTAACCTCTAGTAGCCGCCCGAGGCCTCCAGCTGACAGGCGGAAGGCACCCAGGACCCAGTTCTCCAGCCACAGGGTAACGAATTCTGCCAACACCCCCTGGGACCCTGGAGCAGACTCCCTGCCACAGTTGAGCCTCTGGGTAAAAGTGCAGCCCAGCTGACACCCGGATGGTGGCCTGGCGGGACGCTGAGCAGAGGACCCAGCTAGGCTGTGCCTGGACCCCTGATTCACAGAAACTGTGAGATGATGAGTGGGCGGAGCCTGGGGTAATCTGTTATGCAGCATCACTAACTAACACAGTGGAGGAGCAGGACCTGGAGAGAGGAGCTGGGCCCGGGGAGACAGAAGGAGACGTAGCCTGAGGTGACCGCCAGCACTCCCTCATTTTCCCCTACTATGGCAAGTCAGTCGGCCTTCCCCTCCTGAATGAATTAGCATGACTGTGAAAGTGGTGTCAATAGGAAACACAGGCTCCTGAAAAAGGAATCACACCGCCTCCTCCTGACTCCAGAGTCTCTGACCAAGGTGAGCGCCCTGAGGAGACGCGGCTGCGGGTCCTGCTCTGAGAAGCCAGCCCCAGCCCGCGGAGCTGGGGGGCAGCAGAGCTGGGAGGGGCGCTGGGCTGCGAGGTGGTGACAGGGGAGGAGCCACGCTAGTGAATACAGGGCTTTGCCGACTCATCATCCAAGTCCAAGAGCCATTTTGCAAGGAAACCACTTATTGCTGGGCCACACTCCTTGCTGTCTTTTATGGCAAATACCTGGAACCCGAACCCGGAAGTCCGGGACGTTCCTGCCTCATCCCAGGCCGTCCATCCCTCCCATCACTTGCTGGACATGTGCTTGGCGGGTCTCCCTTGCACCCAGATGCGTCCCACGCCAGGCAGGGGGTCTCTGTCACCTGCAGAGGCCGAGCCTGGCAGGACCGAGACTCCGTTCTCTAGTTTCACCGTTCGCTCCTGCACCACAGGACATTTGCAAATGTCTGCCCCTGTCACCTTGGTGCAGCCACGAGACTTTGGGAACACAGGACACAAATCACCGCGATTCAACCTCTCTGACACCCTCCGTCACTCTGCCCTGCGTCCTCTGTATTTCCTTTTTGAAAACTTTGCTGAGATATAAATTCAGAAATCAAGCAACTCACCACTTAGTGTTCACCCATTCAATGGTTTTCTGGTACGTTACCTTATTAATTTTTTAAAAATCGTGGTAAAAATATATATGTGACATAACACTTGCCATTTTAACTATTTTTAAGTGTACAATTCAGTGGCATTAAGTGCTTTCATGTTATGGTGCAACCATCAGCACAATCTAATTCCAGAACATTCCATCACCCCCAAAAGAAGCCCCATCCTCATCAGCAGTCACTTCCCCTCCTCTGCCCCCCAGCCCCTGACAACCAGGAACCCCCTCTCTGTGTCTGTGGACTGGCCTGTTCTGGACATTTCACATCCATGGACTCACACACTGTGTGTCCTTCTGTGTCTGCTTCTCTCCCTGAGCGTCGTGCTCTCAGGGTCCGTCCACGTGGGAGCGAGTGTCAGGGCTGCTCTCCTGGTCACGGCTGAGTGATGCTCCGTGTGTGGAGGGACACATGTGTACCCGCTCAGCCACTGCTGGGCACCACAGCTGTGTCCCCCTTCTGGGTGCTGTGAACGGTGCTGCTGTGACGTCTCTGCAGAAATGCCTGCCGGGGCGCCGGGGCTTGAAGACTCTGCCTTCCCAAATCAGCTTCTCAGCGAAGTCCCACGGCGGTCCCCATCCTGACTCTCTCCGGGGAAAGTGGCGATGGCCCACAAGGCTCTGTGGGGTCCTATCCAGTTGGGCGTGGCTGTGCAGCCTGGGAGACCACGTGATGGTTAATTGCATGTGTCAGTCTGACTGGGCCACGGGCTGCCCAGGTACGTATGTGGGCCAATGGTCTTCTGGATGCTCCTGGAAGGTGTTTCTTGATGAGACTGCTGTTAGGCTGGGGGCTTTGAGTAAAATGGGATGCCTTCCAGGATGCTGGGGGAGGCTCACCCAGTCCCTTGAAGGTGGGAATAGAACAAAAACCTGGCCTCTCCTGAGCAAGAGGAAATTCTTTGCTGGAACTGTACTCCATAGCCTCCATAACCAATTCCCTAGAACAACATTCTCTGTCTCTATATACGTCCAGCTGGCTCTGTTTCTCTGGAGAACCCTGACGAATACATACTGCCCAGTGCTTTGCAGGCAGAGAGAAACGAGCTCGGACTCTGACCCCTCTGTCCACCAGCCCTGCGCCTTGCTGAATCTCTGCTGCTGAGCCTCAGTTTGCCCACCTATAAAGTGGGGTTAAGGACCTGCTCCCCGGGGCTCCCACGAGAAATGAGCCGAAGCAGCCAGGCCTGGCACACAGTAGCACCTGATAAGCATCTGCCGGGGCGCCGAGCGAGGTCAGCAGTGGGCCGGCCGGGTGCCTGGGAGTGGGGCCGGGGCCAGGCTGGAGGAGGCTGACGTCACTGTCACTGCCTGGAGCTCTGTTTCTCCCTGCCGGCAGGTGATGTGACGCCGGGACCTAATCCCGCAGCACGCGGCCATGTGGCTGCCGCCCGAGCCGCTCCCCTGACACCTGCGCCTGGCTGGGGGTGGCTCTGTCGTGATCCTCCCCACGTGTGTGTCCCGCAGGACCAGGCACAGGTGGGCCCTGGTCTCCCCATCAGGGAAACGCTCTGTGTACCCTGGCTTCCCTGCCGGGACGCCTGAGAGGCCCAAGAGCTGGCGACCACTGGGAACCGCCCCTGTTTCGATCATCATTTTGGTCACTGTCATTCCTGGCTGGGCTGGGGTGAGGACCGCGAGGCACCCACCTCGGGCCCAGTATCGGATGGGTGCTGGAAACTCAGTCACGGCGATCACATATTTTCATGTGATAAGAATATATTTTTAGATGTCAAAATGAATACAGACTATCCATGATGAATCAAATACCAAGCTTTTCATGAGAGACAGGATCTGATAGGGCTGGGATCAGGGCGAGACAATACCTTTTTTATTTGAATTTTTAATCTCCATCGTGGATTTTCTTGGCATTAATTTTGATTTTTAGGAAATACTGCTATGTTAAGATACGGCATGGCTAAATATAAAAGAGATCAACAACAGGTTTCCACTGTGCAGCACAGGGAGCTACATCCAATATCCTGTAGTGACTTATGATGAAACAGAACATGAAAAGGAATGTATGTAGGTACATGGATGGCTGAAACAGTACCCTGTACACGAGAAATCGACCCATTGTTAACTGACACATTGTAACTGCCTATACTACGATAATAATTAAAAAAATTAAAAATAAAGATACTACATGGAGATGACTGAGTTTTCCAGTGCCCCTTAAATTTTGCACGGTGGGGAGTGCCCAGCCCTCCTTGCCCTGGGCCGGGTCTGCCCCAGGACACTTGCAGGCTGCACAGATCAGAGGTGTGGCATCCTCAGGGGCCAGTGAGGCCCAAGGAGAGTGCAAGCTGGGGCGGGATGACCACTATAGCTAGTGACCATCCCTGGGTGGGCCTGGCCTGTGTCAGTGCCTGCAGTCCCTGATTAACTCTTATCCCCATCTCACAAGTATGGGACGTGGAATGACCCCTCCAGATCACACCCTGGATGGTGGCAGGGGCCCGGGGCCCGGGGACTCAGTCGTGCCGCCACCCACCCCCAGCAGCAGCCGCTGCCACTCAAAGGCCTTCGGGACTCAGGGAGTGAGCGCCCTGTGCCTGGAGGCATGCAGGTCAGAGCTGAGGGTGCTGGAGGGGAGCTGGAGACTCTGACCCTGCTCGGGCGCGGCTGACTCTGGGGCTCTGAGCCATGTGGTTCGCAGAACAGGGTGGGAGCTGTGGGCGAAAGCCCGCCTCGCCCCGCCGGGGCCATGAACAGGGGCTGGAGGGGGTGCTGGTCATCCCAGGGGTCGTGACGGGAAGCCCCACAGGAAGATTCTAGGGCGAGGGGAGCAGGCCCCTGAGGTGTCTCGGAAGCACATGGTCCTTGAGCGGTGGGGAGGGAGCCCCAGGGACCTCCGGCTCCTCTCTGATCCAGGGTGCTGCACTCCCAGGGCCAGGGGCACTGGGTCCGTCTCCAGGATCCCCTGGCTGCTTGGGGCACACGGAGCCCAGAGTGCTGTGGGTTCAACCGTGTCTGCCAAAAGATGCATTCAGGTCTTAACCCCTGACACCTGGGAAGTGGGCCTGGTTTGGAAATAAGGTCACTGAAGATGGACTTAGTTAAGATGAGGTCGCAGTGGGGTCGGGGGTGTTCTTAAATCCCATGATGGTGTCTGCACGGGAAGAATAGATGGGCACACAGGGAGAGGCCGTGTGAGGACAGAGGCAGAGAGCGGACCGGTGTATCTGCAAGCCAAGGAATGCCAAGGGCTGCTGGGAACGACCGGATGCTGGAAGAGGCAGGAAGGACCCTCCCCGGGGCCTCCAGGGCCTGCCTCACCTTGTCTGCGGGCTTCTGGCCTCCACAGCCATGCGAGGCTGCGTGTCTGTGATTTTAAGCCCCAGTCTGTGGTACTCAGTGACGGTGGCGCCAGGAAGCTACTATGGGGTGGGGTGGGGTCCTCTCTCGGCCGCGCTCACCACCTCCACAAACCTCCTGTGCCCTCGGGCCTCACGCCTGCTGTCCCTCCAGTCGCCTGCTGTCCCTCCAGTCGTGTGAAGCAGGCGGTCCCCGTTCCACCTGGCATTAAGAGCCCCGCAGAGAGGAGGCAGTGAAGCCGCGGGTCCAGAGCTCAGCCCCGCAGCCCCAGCCCTCCCCTCCCCTCATCAGCGCGCCCACAAAGCGTTTGAGTCGCAGCCCTGCAACGTCCTCCGCAGAGGAAGGCGCCCGATGCCCTCTCCGCCCCGGTGGGTCGCGGGGTCAGTGGCAGCTCAACCACGCGCTCTTCGACGGCCAAGGGGGCCAAGGAGGAAGCCCGCTGGGAAC